CCTAGCAGCCTAGCAGCCTGGCAGCCTGGCAGTCTAGCAGCCTAAAGAAAACTTAGGACAATACAAACATTTAAAAGTCGGAAATGAGTCGGTAGCACATTCTTAGACTATTCTACGACTTTTTTCAGTATCGCGAACTTTATTTTTTTTTAATATTGAACTTTGTTTTTTTTACTCTTCGAAATTTGTGAAGTTAGCAGCCTAGCAGCCTGGTAGCCTAGCAGCCTGGCAGCGTAGCAGCCTAGCAGCCTAAAGAAAACAAAGGATAATACAAACATGAAAACCATCGAAAATTAGTCGATAGCACATACTTAGACTATTCCACGTCTTTTTTCAGTATTGCGGCTATTGATCAAATGGGTATTGTTCTTAAGTTCAGATAATCTTTATGTTCATTAATGTGTTCGTTTAAACATATGAATGGTTTATCTCTTTACATTTCAACCGATTTATCTTTACAGACCTTAAATAAATATGCGTTGAACATCGTCAACTTCATTATAAACATATGCATACAAAATAGCAAACATAAATAAGTCACATGACGTCGCTTATTGTCCATAGACAGCCGAAAATGTTAAGATTATGACTACTTCCTACGGTATTCGAAAACATGTTTAATCCCGCAAATTTCGAAGCGTCAGAATGAAAAATAAAATAAAATTCAATATTTAAAAAAATAAAGATCGCGATACTGAAATAAAACGTGGAATGGTCTAAGTATGTGCTACCGACTCATTTCGTTTGTATTATCCTTAGTTTTCTTTGGCTGCTAGGCTGCCAGGCTGCTAGGCTGCTAACTTCACAACTTTCGAAGAGTAAAAAAAAGAGTTCAATATTAAAAAAAAATAAAGTTCGCGATACTGAAAAAAGACGTGGAATAGTCTAAGTATGTGCTACCGACTCATTTCCGACGGTTCACATGTTTGTATTGTCCTTAGTTTTCTTTAGGCTGCTAGCCTGCCAGGCTGCTAGGCTGCTAGCTAGGCTGCTAACTTCACAAATTTCGAAGTGTCAAAAAAAAAAACAACAAAAAACAAACAAAGTTCAATATTTAAAAAAATAAAGTTCGCGATACTGAAAAAAACGTGGAATAGTCTAAGTATGTGCTACCGACACATTTCCGACGGTTTACATGTTTGTATTGTTCTTAGTTTTCTTAGGCTGCTAGGCTGCCAGGCTGCTAGGCTGCTAGGCTGCTAGGCTGCCAGGCTGCTAGGCTGCCAGGCTGCTAGGCTGCTAACTTCACAAATTTCGAAGTGTAAAAAAAAAAAAAAACAAACAAATTCAATATTTAAAAAATAAAGTTCGCGATACTGATAAAAACGTGGAATATTCTAAGTATGTGCTACCGACTCATTTCCGACGGTTTACATGTTTGTATTGTCCTTAGTTTTCTTTAGGCTGCTAGGCTGCCAGGCTGCTAGGCTGCTAGGCTGCCAGGCTGCTAGGCTGCTAACTTCACAAATTTCGAAGTGTCAAAAAAAAAACAAAAAAAAAACCAAACAAAGTTCAATATTTAATAAAACAAAGTTTGCGATACTGAAAAAAGACGTGAAATAGTCTAAGTATGTGCTATCAACTCATTTCCGACGGTTTACATGTTTGTATTTTCCTTACTTTTCTTTAAGCTGCCATACTGCTAGGCTGCTAACTACACAAATTTCGAAGCGTCAAAATAAAAAACAAAACAAAGTTCAATATTTGAAAAAAAAGATCGCGATACTGAAATAAGACGTGCAATGGTCTAAGTATGTGTTTCCGATTTATATCCGACGATTTCATGTTTGTACTATTCTTAGTTTTCTTTAAGCTGCTAGGCTGTTAGGCTGCCAGGCTGCTAGGCTGCTAGGCTGCCAACTTCAGGCTGCTGGGCTGCTAGGCTGCTAGGCTGCCAACTTCACGAACATCATTCACAACTACTTTCTTTAGAAATACAGGCAAAACAAAAATGTAAGTCTGCAAAAACTGCATGACAAGTTTGCTTCTTTAAAAAGAAGCATGCGAGAGGTCTTTTTGCTGCTGTGAGATATTTGTGTAATTCGAAAATATTTGGGGATATTTTTACATAAAAGACACAATGAATGGTTATTAATTACAATTATTTAACAAAATATACTTTATTATTATATAGTGTCATAATGAAAGTTTGTTTTACACTCCATTTTTTAAAAATGTTTTGTAAGATTATATGCCGGAGATACTTTAAGCGATACTTTTTCTACAAAGAAAATAATTTGTGTTATGCCATCAAACTAAATTTAAAATAAATGATAAACACATGTATATATTTATATTAAAAATAGTATCAAAAATAAAAGTGTCTTGTAAAGTTCAATAAGCACATTTTCGGTTAATGTTTTGGTTAGTATACCATGTATACGGAAACATTTCCTCTACATTTTCCAAAACGGGCATAAAGTATGTTAATCAATTTTAAGTCCCATAATTTACATAAAAATGTTTATATCATTTGATTGGAATAAACAGTATATAAAGCTGCATGCCTCCAACCACAATTGATATTTGAGGAAAATCTTGAGTAAAATGTGTGCCATTTGCGCACAAAAAATCTCCGTTGCGTTATTAACTCGTACATATTCAAAAGTTTAAGGAGCAGCAGAATTTCGGTACACGGTTCTCTTGGTCATATTGAGTGGTGATATTGTACCTGTTATGTTCACTGTTACTATTTATCGGAATATGAAATAGTAAAACGCTATTCAGAAAACAATACGGTAATTGGTTTATACAATTAAAAAGATTAAAACGGAATGACACATCCACGTAGTTTTAAGTGACGTAAATGGAATTTTCCGTTTTTTCTACGTACCAATTTGTTTACTTCGATGTTTATTTTTCGTTAAAGTTAAGTCGAATTTTGAAACGGAGCATGCGCAAAACCATTTTTGTAGACTGCTCCTAATGAGATTCATTCACTACAATCAGATACGTAAGAGTGGATGCCGCCAGCAATAGCTCTGAACACTGTGAAGAGGTCTCGTGACCTCTCCAGTTATGTATTTCAATTCTTTTTAAGACTTGAAAAAATATAGTACCCGAACTGTATTTACAATGCCGGGAGTAGGGGATTTTTTAGAATACTACATGAATAATAATATCTGTCATATATACATTATCCCTCATGTACAGACTCAATCAAACCGAGTCTGCAATTCTTATGTAATTTTGTTGTAATTAATGCTTCTGAGGGATCACTTTGTTTCCCGATCTGGTTAAATGACAACATTCTCAATAAGGATATTTGTTTTTTACTGAGACAAAGTTGAATGCAAATCTTCAAGATAACAATTTAATCATACTTGGGTATGAACATATGCTTCGGAAGGATGATTCAAGATCATCCTTGATTTGTTGATACACGTGTCGCTTTTAAAGACTAACACGTATATTTGTTTTGGAAACCATCCTCCCCGAATCGCTTTGGATAGAAATTAAGGACAAAAAATAATTCATATATAGTATGTTATGTATATAGACCCCCGGATTACACGGTTGATTCTGGGATAAATTAAATAGGTATCACAAATGTGCTCTAGCGATGCAAAACCACATTGTCATGGTAGGAGATAAAAATGTCGCTTTATTGAATTATTCAAATCATAAACTTTGGACGTGTTATTACTTAACAATATGACTAATTATATAGATGTGATGACTGACATTTAGTACACACCCACGAGGTGGAGCTATTTAGATAGTTGTTTTTAATATGTTATATATATCATGTATTATATAGAGAGTGACAGTGTATGTATGAATGTAAAACAATAAAGCCGTATTATAAGCTATGGTGTTGATTTTGATAATCCTCAAATAAACAGAATGTTGCATTGGCGAGAGTACCTAATCGTTTTATACAAACTAGCAGTACATAAAATGATTCATTAGCAATAACAAACAACATTCATTTTTTAGATTCGGGATTTTTCAAAACACCAACGGAAATAAGTGATCATTTTGAAACGTATATTTCTTTTAAAATTGAATTTGACGCAAATAAATCATTTCAAAGAAGACTGTTGAATTACAAAAGCGCTGATTTTACTAAATTTGATACCCTTATACGTGATTTTGATTGCTTGTTCATTAACAATGAAAATATTGATATTGCATGTGAACTTTTATCATACACTTTCATATATATTGCTTAACAATGCATTCCTACATGTATAGCGTTAGTTAGACCTAAAGACAAACCTTGGTTTATCGCAACTTAGGAATAACAATTTCATAAAGTATTGAATACAAATAACATATAAGACTGGAATGAATACAAATGTAAATAATATGAAAAAGACACATATTATTATTTTCAATAACAATTCATAATTTTCATTAACCGATCTTTATAGAAATGATTCGCGCAAATATTGGAATACAGTCTAGTCAAAGAAAACTCTTCTGACTCGGTAAGTATTCTGCCTTATCAATGTAATAAATCAGATATATCTATTTCTGACACAGAAAGCGCAAATACGTTTAACGATTTTGTTTTGTTTTAATTTCAAATGTTGACAAATCAAACACTGATCTTCCGGAATTTTCTTTGAAAACACATTCAAAACAAAATGATTTTTTTAATAACTGAACAAGAACAAGAAGTTCAAGATATATTAGATGATTTTTTTAATAACTGAACAAGAACAAGAAGTTCAAGATATATTACATAATCGTATCATCAATACTAAAAAATACTAAATTTTGTCAATGTATAACCATAATCAATGTATAACCATTAGAAACCACAGTGCCCATAAGTCCTGTCAGATATGCAAAATCCACAGTGTAGGCAATATACGTTCTGTTTTCTTTTCATAATATTAAAATATATGTTTCGAATCTTGAATATTATCATATGCTTTTTAGAAATATATTAAAATGTAAAACGAAAATTTACTGCAAATATATTACAGTGAATTGGTCAATAAATAAATAATATTAAATAAGTAAATATCAAGTAACTTATAACAACTTACATTTATCGCTTTTAAATGTTATTCCTTTTCAAAGTGTTCATCTTTCTATTCTCGAACAACAATTGTTTGATTTTTATTTGACGGGGGTCTTTTTTATACTTATTATTATCTATAGATTATATCATGTGACAACCCAATTGTTTATCAATTGAATACATACGATACTCGTGACATGACTTTGCCTGTTCTTAACTGTGGACACCAAACCTGACTTTATTTGATACGTTATACTTTATAAATCTTTACCTACTGATATTAATACTGTTATCCTGCTTGATATTGATAAGAAAATGCAGTTTTTACAGTGATACACAATTAGTCAGATACGAATAACGACATTTATTTTTACTTGAACCGCTTGTGCATATATCATATATGTATTCACTATTCGTGATATTGATATGTCTTGTAATTTTTCAAAATATCTTCTAATAGCCCTTGTAACATAGTACTTATGGTATCATTAAAAGGATGTAAACTTTATTAAATAATATACAAAATTTCAAATATGTTATTCGATATTTTCAAATGTACGTTGTACTCTACACATAATGTGTTAATCTACGCATTATGTGTTCAATCACAAAATACATTAAAGCATATAAGGATTCATTTTTATATTTTATCATGCAACTACTATGGTAACTGCCCGATAACACTTGCCTGATAATTATTTTTGATATCAGGTCAGTAACCTGATATCAAAAATAAGCCCCGTCCACTTTAACGGACTTTTTTCAATTGCTTATATTCTCATTTTCATCAGCATGTGAATTCTACAATGTAATTTCATACCCTTACAAGTCTTGAATCAAGGTGCGATATTTATTCATTTATTATTTCGATTTCAATTACGAATAAATTAGATAGCGAATAGTTAAAGCACCAACTAAATGAAGTGACGTCATAATTTATATTGCAAATGACATCATCGATGTTCACGTCATACTATACATGTAATCATAACAAACTGGCTAGACGATTTTCTTTGAGAACTTGTAAATGTTTACTTTATTTCGCCGGATTATTATTTAATAAGTGAAGAAATTGTTTTGTTTAAAAAATAAGATGTATGGTTGTTTAGCTTGTGTTTGATTGCCGATTTGATTTCTTTGATTGAAATTATCGTGAACTTTTGAATTTGACAATTCAAGACAAAAATTGCAGTAAGGTTTAGTTTTTGTGATTCTAAGTGGATTTTCGGATCGATGTTTAAATTAAAGGTAAGAATTTTATCGTATTACTCCTACATATTTTGTATCTTTTATCCGAGGCGAAAGAAAAAATTGCCGCCATTTACAAATTCTAAGTTTCAGGGGCGGAGGAATTTGTTTTCAAGAATTATTTCTTTGAACAAAAATCCCCCTTTTTAACGAAATTCGCTATTAAAAAGTAGATTATTTTTTTATTTTGACAGTTATTTTGTGTTACATGATAAATAGAAAAACATGCTACTGTCTTTTGATATCAATTTTATCAGGCTCGGCTGATATGGGCAGAAAGGGCTCGGCAAGCCTCACCCTTTCTAGCCCATATCAGCCTCGCCTGATAAAATTGATATCAAAAGTCAGTACAGTAGCATGTTATTCTCTATTTGCAAGCTCGTCCCTTAATTATTTATCATACAATTTTGAAATAATTGAAAGTGTAGTAATTATAGAGCAAGTGCTGCAGTTATCGACAGGTTAACCCAAAAAAGCCATCGTACAATTAACGATTTGTTTATTTCCATTTGATTGAATTCTACTATGTAAAACAATCGTTGATTGGTTGTTTAGAAGGGTATTTCCCGGTTCCAATTATTTTTACACAGCGTGACACTCGGTAGTAACTACTAATTCTAAGGCTGTAGTTATCGGCACATGGACGCAATTATCGACAGGTACTTTTTAATTGAGGACACTAATCCTTTTTAATGGACATATTGATAATAATTATGTTTTATAATATCATGACAATCATTATATTGCAAAAAGTATTTACTTAAATTAATAAATCGTGATTTTCATGTGTTTGCAGTTTATTTTTTTTTTAATTGAATTGAACTTTGAACCCAAGTTGCAGACCCCTAAATTTTAAGAAAAATGATAAGTCAATAACCAATTTCAATTTTTTATTCAGATATATTGATGTAAGCAGAGATAGTAAAGACTGTGATGTAAGTACATGTATAAGGTAACATACATTTGATGTAAGTATAAGATAACATACAGACATAGTTAATTCAACAAACCATTGCATTTGAATACCACCATCATCATCATCGGAATCCATGTATGGTATATTTTCCTCAGAAGAGGTATTGCTGGCATATATATGCCTCTACCTTTTTTTCTTTTCTATCAATTTTATTTTCTTTCTTTATTATCTTTTACAAATCTTCCTTTCTTTCTTTCTCTTCCTCTCTCACTTTTCTTGCTTTATCTTTCTGTCTTTCTTACTCCTCTTCTTCTGGTCTTCTCTTACTTTCTCTCACATTAACAAATTCAAAGCAACAGAACCTTACAACACTTTTGGGATTTTATTTCTAATGGAATTGACTTTTCTTTTCTTTATTTCAGGGATAATGAGTTTATTAAAGGCATAAGACTTGTCTGAGACAGTTGAAGTACATGTAGTTGCTACTATAAGCTCAGAGTCAGATGGACCCACTTGCCTTCAGGAGATATTAAGGGGAAAAGGACTGATCACTTAAGAACTTAGTCAAAATCTCTTTCTTGGATAGTGAATAACCTGAAATATAAAATAAAGATTCATAGTCATGGCAAATAAAATAGATGAAGAACCTATTAATATATATAGGAAATTTGATTTGAAACGTTTTATTTAAGAAGTTATCAAAATTGCATACATTTGTAGTTGAAATACATGAACCATAACATCATTAAAAGGTGCACTTCATAGATTATTTCAGCATATAATTTTTGTTTTCCGATTTCAACAGAGTATAAAATTCAAGGTAAAAATTTTGCCATCAGATTTGCATAGTTTATTTGAGCTTTCTCCTCAGCAGGAGTCTAAACTGACGGAAGTCCGGGCCTTGATGGCATTTCAGGAACTCTTCCCAAATGGTTATCTAAAAGGGTGGTCCTTGGAACCCCATATAGCCTGGCAGCCTTTACCTTCGACATCCCATTACATCTCATAGTTGACTTCAACTTCCCCTCATTTTGGGTGGCAAGTATTGGACCCTCTTATGATTTTGAGATGACGTCTAGAACAGGAGTAATATTCTAATCTTTCATGACTGTATTGAAACCTATCATCTTTAAAGTTTAAATTTGTCTGAGGTAGAACTAAATGTTTACTGTTGAACATTGTATGTAAATGGATAATTAAACAAAACATTAATATTCTATATAGTTACATTATTTTTATACTCTTCAATAAAATTGTTTTTAAAACATAAATTTTTATTTAAAAATTGCAATGTGTCGATAACTGTAGACCTTTCTGTTTACTGGACGTAGTTATCGACACCCCCCTACAACTGTATCAATACCGTTAATATTGCATATTTAGTGGTCTGTAACCCATACACATCTAATATTAGACTAAACAAAGTGGAATACTTATGTGAATTCAGTGAAGAAATAGAGAATAACATGCTACTGTCTTTTGATATCAGTTTTATCAGGCGAGGTTGATATGGGCTAGAAAGGGTGAGGCTTGCCGAGCCCTTTCTGCCCATATCAGCCGAGCCTGATAAAATTGATATCAAAAGACAGTAGCATGTTTTTCTATTTATCATGTAACACATAATAACTGTCAAAATAACAAAATAATCTACTTTTAAATAGCGAATTTCGTTAAAAAGGGGGATTTTTGTTCAAAGAAATAATTCTTGAAAACAAATTCCTCCGCCCCTGAAACTTAGAATTTGTAATTGGCGGCCATTTTTTCTTTCGACTCGGATAAAAGATACAACAGAATGTAGGCCTAATACGATAACATTCTTACCTTTAATTTAAACATCGATCCAAAAATCCGCTTAGAATCACATAAACTAAACTTTACTGCAATTATTGTCTTGAATTGTCAAATTCAAAAGTTCACGATAATTTCAATCAAAGAAAAGTCAAATCGGCAATCAAACACAAGCTACACAAACATGCGTCTTATTTTCTAAACGAAACAATTTGTTCACTTATTAAATAATAATCCGGCGAAATAAAGTAAACATTTACAAGTTCTCAAAGAAAATTGTCTAGCCTGTTTGTTATGATTACATGTATAGTATGACGTGAACATCGATGATGTCATTTGCAATATATAGATTATGACGTCACTTCAAACTATTCGCTATCTAATTTATTCGTAATTGAAATCGAAATAATAAATAAATAAATTTCGCATATTGATTCAAGATTTGTAAGGGTATGAGATTACATTGTAGAATTCACATGCTGATGAAAATGAGAATATAAGCAATTGAAAAAAGTCCATTAAAATGGGCGGGGCTAATTTTTGATATCAGGTTACTGACGTGATATCAAAAATAATTATCAGGCAAGTGTTATCGGGCAGTTACCATAGCAGTTGCATGATAAAAATGATTAATTATTATCTGTCATTATGTGTACAAATAAAGATGTTGAATGAAAAAGAAAGTGTATATAAAACATACATAATTCATACAAAGCTATTATTAAACATTGGTAAAAGGAAAACCTATTTGGAAGTTTCTTTTTGATAATAACCTGAGTGCAAATAGTCATACCTTGATTCGTTTGTTAATTTTTCATGATTATCATTCCAACGACCAATGACTAAAACAAACATTTCGTTGTTGTTTTTTCTATGCATTTTTTAAAAATGTGGTATTCACAAGTCAGTTGGTATGTCTATTTGAACATAAACCCTTAACCGATATGGCTGACATACATTTCGATGTGACCTTATACATGTATAATAATCTCTAGTTTACAAGATAAAGTGTACATAAATATTTTAAATCAACCAATATATACCTCAAAGATACGGACAGCTGTACTATTTCTTTTAAAATAATATTGTGAAAGAGGTGGAGGTCTATAAACAAGTCCATTCGGGAATAGAAAAAGTGTACTTGGCGAGCATCTCCATCACTCTCTATGTGGATTATGTCTATTTTAAAACATACATAAACAGTAAGCATTGAAAATATAACACACGTTATAACACACGTTATAACACACGTTGTATATTTTCATTTAGACACATATTCAATATAATGATCAAGAAACTTGCGCTTCTCCAACAATCAAGTCAAATCCCTTAGAAAATTATTAAAGTTTATTTTGACCTTACTTATGCCGCAAAACAAAACTCATTTACTTCCGTAGATACTGTCATATGTTAATAAATCATATAAAAAGACCTACAATGGGTAGAACAACAATGAGCCGACCTAAGCTTTTTGAACCCCGGTCCTCAATACACACCAGCCTTGGTATGCATTCCATGAATCTAGCTTCTTGGTTAAGAATCTACTTCGGTTGCTCTTTCATTTCCAACCTAGACTATTGTACATTCCAGAATATCTGTGAATGTAATGTCAATCAATGGTCCATATGTCATTGGTATATTCATATAAAATTAATGATAGTTGATCATATTGTTTAAGTGAAACTCTATCTTTAAATTAAATGCAATAAGAAATAGCCTGTTTTATTCCCATACTATGCACCTTTGTTCAAACATTTTCACAAAGAAGAAGTCTATTATACTTGATGGTTCCCCTGTTCTGTAACAAACAGAAACATCATCAATAAGAAAAGCCCAGCTTCATTTGTCAAGATTTTGTTGTTCAGACATTGCTATATAAATGAAAGCATTTTATTGAAAGAAAATTCAAACCTTTATAATGATAATAATTATTTAAGCACTTGATCGATTATTATTTGTCCGTTTAATATCCTACAAAACACCTTCTCATTAATATGACGTTTACTGATTAGATTTATATTAGTTCAAATGTAATACTGTATTACTTTTTTTGCATGTAAAGCACATAATTTTGTTTGTGTGGCCTAATAACATGTACCGATCTTGTATAATTATACGACCCAGTAATCGGAATATTTTATCCGACAATGTAGTAGTCACTTGCAAATAAATTTATGTGCTATTGAATTGAAATGTATAAATATGAGTGTTTCCATATACATATATATTATAGTTGACAATTATCATCATTCTTTGTATATAACATACTTTTCTCATGATATTTGTTGCCGCCTAATATATTCATTTAGGCAAAAAACTGTATATAATGTTTATATGCCTAATAAAATATTGAATTGAATTGAATTATTTGTCCGTTTAATATCCTACAAAACACTCTCTCACTAATATGACGTTGCTTCAGTCTTTTTCCGTCATCTGCTTTTAACTTTTAACTTTTAAGATACGTAGCATCCGCTTTATTAAACCTAATTAGATATCCCTAATCTACTTTTATTGCAAAACTGTAAGTCCAGAATTTTTTATTAGGAGTGATAATGATCATTGTCTCTTATTCCTAAGATAACGTATGATTGTGACACAAATGAGTTTCATTTATAGGCATATATATATATATACGTAAATGTGGTATCTAAATCTGTATAGTTTTGTTATAGAATTGAATCTTGTAGATATTCTGGCAGTATTATTGTTTTTGATAAACCAGTTTTGATTACATAAATTGTACAACTTCATTTTAGCAAAGCTCCTATGTCAATTTTTCAACAGCCTATCATAATCAAAGGCATTATACTTAAGTTACCAGCATCAATTTAAATTCGATACGACGCTCACTGTCAAACTTAAGCCTTGGCCGCTGAAAACATACTCTATCCATTTCTGAATGTTCAAAAAATTTTACACATTTTTATGCCGGAAGTCTTATCTTGAAATTGACAATGAAGCTAGGTTATCCAGTACCCGTATATAAATCTCTTTCAAATTAAAGAAAAGCATCGAACGATGGTTTAAGATATGAATAAAGGCAATAGGCCGGTCGTCATTGAATTGATACAATTTCTTCGTCATTACAGAAACATCCATGTTGTTGCACTGTTTCACATTCTAACAAAGGTTTTTTTAATTTAAATAGGTACAAAATGTATATTTGTTTTACATGATTCAATTCTAAATTCGCAATGTTTGTTTTGACACTAATATTACTGTATCATCTGTTATAACTTGTATTAATTTATCATTAGTTACTGAATTCTAAATTTATGAGGATATTTCAGATAAAGATACCTTTAAGGAGAGGGAAAAGATATATTTTCCTTAAAATGAAAACAATGACAGGGAAGCAAAAGGGTTAGGGTTTATTTACTTAAATTGTACTAAGTTAAAGTGACTTAATACAGTCACTAAGTATAATCATTATGTGATTGCATTGTGGTTCAATTATTCCATTCGTAAACATTTGAATGGCTTGACCAGAAACAATAATACTTAAAAAATGCAAAGTTGAGTATGTATAAATCTTCATACCCTGGAAAATCGATGTCCCTGTTAATAGATACATGTCTTTTGATTGCAGATTTTAAAGTTTTGTTTTACATTATTACATTCATTTACACTTTAAAACATGATATTAGGCATTAACATAAAATCTTTATGTGTTTTAGTGCAGTTATTTCTACCTTAACGTAAGTGTTGTTTTTTTATGTGATAAAATTTCTTCGTAGCCACATTATTTAATATATGATACATGTCTCTTTGTAATGCTTTAGATTATATTCGTAAAACGTTTAACTTGAAACCTTGTCAAACCAAGCCTTTACTTTTCCATCATTTAGACCTTAAAATGTCGTCATCATTGCCATTATATTTAATATATATTCCGCTCGTACACTATGTACCTGCACCTGATGTAGTCTCATCACCAGGCAAGCTGAAAAGTCGCCATACATTTGCTACCATATTGATGGGAAACCAATGATAAAACCCAACAAATATCAACATGAAAGAATAACCTTTGTCACAAAGGAGAGAAACTTCTTCTTCATACCCATGTAGACATCAATTTATGTAAGCTAAATCGGAGAATATTTCAAGGGGAAACAAGCGATGTATGGGTTCATATTTGAGAATGCAGAAACAACGATACTCCATTAAATGTTATCTTAGTTTTTCACAAATGTATACATAATGTCAAATATATTATGTTGTACAAACTTTAATTAAATATACCCTCAAAATCATAAATGTACACGAGTAAAGCTATCAATATTTATGAATTTAGATTAGGTAAATAAATATTCATTCCATCGTCATTCCCTCGGATTGTAATCAAATCAAATTTTTAAGAAAAAAATAAGAAACAAAAGTACTTATAACAATAATGTTGTTTTGATCTGATAGGTTTGCCTCTTTAGATATAGAGCAGATCACACGACTTTAACTTTTGTATCGGCTATTTATTTATCCACACTTGTCAAGTAGTCGACATAGTCACCGCTTTATCTAAATTACCCCGACTAACATGTGATACGTTGTCTGTATCATTCACTTGAACACTGATAGCTTGTCTCTAATATGTGCCGAC